TTCTGTAACTTGGAATTCTAATTTTGGTGGGTGTATGTAGTATTTGAGTTTATTGCAAATTTCACAATTATTTAAAGTATAGATTGCATAAGGGGAAAATAATATTGTCTCTTTAAGTTTCATAAATTTCGGTAATTCCTCTATGGTTCCTATTTTCATGACAGGTACGAATTAGTTCAATTTCTTTATCATTGTTAGTTACATTTGATAGGACTTTAGTGCATCGGACGATACGAAATTGTTTTCCATTTGAAAGGTATCAACATACTTTATATATATGTATATCAGTTGAATAGTTCTGAAAGTTGGTTCATCGGAGAAGAGGGCAGTTAGTTTACCTGAGGGTATAAATTTTTTGAAAATCTGAGTATTTGAGTATTGTGTCTTGAGAAAATTCTTTTTGTCTTATAGTTCTATGTTGTTTGTTTCTAAATGGTTTCAACAGTCATACTGGGTTTTTTGTGAGATCTTTCTAATTAAAGTTGCAAGTAAAATTCATTTAAAGGTTTTTCTGAAATTGGTATGCCATCATTCACATTTTCCTTACATGAATGTATTGTAGACAGATCGTCCGAATCACACAAATTTGTATCAGCGGTTTTATCATGGTGTAATTTTATCCTGCTCAATGCATCTGCGTTACTGTTCAATTTTCCTTTTTTGTATACGATCTCGTAGTCATACTTTCCAACTTCAGGCGCCATCTCACCAATTTCGAATTGGGCTCCTTGAGCCTCATTAGGTATGTAAGTGGTCTGTGGTCAGTAATTATTTTAAACKTACGACCGAAGAGATATGGGCGGAAATATTTGGTTGCCCACACTATGGCAAAACGCTCTTTCTCAATAGTGGAATAGTTAATCTCACTCTCAGAAAGAGTCCTACTTGCGTAGCAATTAGGTTTGTCACTACCTATGTGACCTTGAGAAAGGACTGCTCCAAGCGCAATGTTACTTGCGTCTGTTGTGARTAAAAATGGCTTTGTGAAATCAGGGTATTGCAGTATTGGATCGTTCATTAAAATGTTCTTGCATGTTTCGAAAGCTTCTAGATATCTGGCGTTTAATGTTATGCTTCTGCCTTTTTTAAGCATTCTGTAATTGGTTTTGCAAGTCTTGCCAGGTTCGGCAAAAACTTCCTATAATCACTAAGTAGGTATATGAACGATTTTATTTCACGATTAGTGCGTGGTATTAGAAATTTCTGGATAGCTTCTATTTTTGTCGGATCCGGTTTTATGCCTTCCGTCGCAACTACGTGTCCTAAAAAATCATAAACTCTGATTTGTCCATCTGGACCTTAAAATTTGAACATCTTAACTTTAGAAAAACTTTTTCTAGATGCTGAATATGTTCCTGGAGGGACGTCGAAAATATAATAACTAGGAAGATTTTTCCCACCAAATCATTTGGGACATTATCCATAATCCTTTGGAAAGTTGAGGGTGCGTTTGGTCATTCCCCGTGGGATTAACTACTTCTATTGTACTAAACCAGTCTTTTGCAAAGTATATGCCTGGAGAAATAAATAAGGCGTTGTCCAAAGTTATTGTATTTATCATAATATAATATCTCCTTCCTTAGAATCAACTGGCAGTTTTACGATTTGTTTCGAATTTGCCTCTATTGTGAATTTATCAGAGGAAAAATTTGATTTAATTTTAAGAGGTATTGCAATAGTATTTTTGATTAGTATTTTATTTTCAAGATCAAATTTAGCTTTAATTTTTGTCGCAAAGTCTAAGCCTAACAGTCCGTTAAAATAATCAATATAATAAAATCAATAATGTTTTTCTAATTTCTTTGAAAATAGGTAATGTCACGTGCTTGTCAATAATATATTTATGTAAGATAGTAGAAGATATAGTTATTGGAATACATTGCTTGATATCTAAGGGATTTATAAATTCCGGGTTTATAAATGAAGAAGAAGCTCCGGTATCTATTAGGAATCTTAATTGTCTGCCAAATGGAGAGCTTATACTGATATARGGTAAAATACTACCATGTTTATTGCTCTCTATGTATCCTGTTTGTTTCTTGATTTCCATCATTACCGTCGATATTGTAATTTTCATAACGGTCCAGGTTTATCTTGTTAACGTGGTCAAGACATGGGATAGAGCTTCCATTTCGAAGATTTCTAAATTCGTTAATATTATTATTATTTATTATCCTACTAAATTGAGTGCTTGGGCTAGTTTTAAATTTATTTGTGCCCTTTTCAAATTTTGAAAATCCACTACCGGTATCCGTTTAGGCTGTGATTGCCTCCAATTTGTTTATCTCGAAAAATTATCGAAGCGTTGGTTGAGTTTAAAATTTGAAAAATTTTCGCAGTGTATTTGGGAATTTTGGGGTAACAAATTACGACTCTGATTGTTTGAATTTGGCTCAAAATTATTGTTATTAACATAGTAAGGTCTGGTTGAAAAATTAGAATATCTTTTAGGTTGGTAATAATTTTTTGTCTTGGTGCAATATTTACAAAATTGTGTGGATATTTAGGATATGGATTATATTAGTAATTTGGTCTCCATTGAGGATATTTGGGTTTATTCAAATTGGACCTAATATAATGAATATTCTGTTCTCTAATGTAGTAGTCAAGGTCAATCGGCATTGATTCTGGTCTCATTGCTCTGATAGTAGATCCCATAGGTTCCCGTAAACCCGACAAAACTGAGTTTAGGCATATTTCAGGAAATAGATTTCTCTTTGCATTAATTACATTAGTGTCGGACTCATGGATAGATAAATTATTAGACAAGGCTGATTGGATTTCCATTATTTCGCTGTAATATTTTTTAATCGGTTTGCCGTATTGTTTTAAACAATGAAGATCTCTAATTAGGGATATTTCTGTCCCTTTATCTGAATAATGCGATATCAAGTTTCTTTCGATTTCATCCCAATTGAAGGATGTGCCATACATATTTAAGACTTCGTTGGCTTGACCATCTATTTTATTTTTAATGGCTCTCAAGAGGATTAGTCCATGAGGAGTGTTATCTGCTCCCCTAATGTGAAGAAGTATTTCGTCCTTGAATTCGTGGAGCAATCGTGGATTACCATCAAATTTGGGTAGATTCTTGATTGCATCTGGAATTCTAATTGAGTTAAAAATGTCGATATTATTCA